CAATTTATTATTTCAAAGCAAGCTTAGTTTGGAAAAATTCATGAAAATATCTTGGGAAGGAATCCTCAAGGGTTGCACAGTTCATTTTGCCTTCATCTATCACAATTGCTATTGTCTTTTCCTTCATCAAACACATTTGTAGCAGTACATTTAAATTTACTGTTTCAGCTTGTCTGCTCTGAATCAATTTAATCCTAGTTTGGTGTCATGCAGTGCAGAAATTTTGAAATTTTGTTTTAATGAGACTCCCTACGTCAAATGGTTCGAGATCATCCACATGTAAATTGGGCATGCCTCTGATACTACCTGTGATAGTCAACAGTTTATGATGATAACAGCAGGTCGAGGGAGGGCGCAGCACATAGATTTCAAGCAAAGCATACCTTTCCCACTCTTTACTGCCTAGCATTTATGTTGTGCCTTGGACTCCTTTTATAACAAAGAAACAAAATAAATAAATAGATTAAACAGCCACATTAAAATACTCACAAATCACTTCCCTGCGGTGGAATTATGCTGTCTTCTTAAAGGCCAGTTAAAAACAAATGTTTTATTAACTCTTGAACAACTGGAGCAAACATATCTTGGGGCTGCCTTTGCATTATCTTAGAGGAGGCATCTGTACTGTGGTGTGATAGAGTTTGCTGGACTAAACACAGAACATCATTATATTATGGCTGCAGATACGATCCACTTACTGGCCAGGATGGTCAGTGGAAAATACAGCTAGCTACAATCATGGAGAAGCCCTCCTGCCTCTCCTGTGTATAGCCCAGTTAATACCACTAGCTTTTCTCCATGAAATTTTGGAGCAATTTTGAATATCTGACCTAGCATTTTCAGAGGTACATAACTTAATCTCTAGTGTCAATGAACATTATGTTGTCTCTTGGCAATTTCCCCTTGCCCGTGACTTTTACAATCCTGCCAGAATCTTTATTGCTAAAAATGAAATAGTTAGGTCATCAGAAACTCTGTTAAGCAATGTGTTTTGCTTTGGTCTGAGATTTTGGGAAGAGAGTATATGCACCTGTGGGTGAGAGAAGAAGGGATAAATAAGTTAGTAAATTGTCCCAATATATGAGTTGGGTTTAAACCTGATCACCCTCTACTTTATCAGTGTGGTCTAGTGGTTACAAACTCTAACTGTAGTGGGGGGGGGTGCAGGTTCAACTTCCTACTCACATGATGAAACTCACTGGGTAATGTTGGGCCAGTCACTGTTTCTCAGCCTAACCTACCTCACAGGGTTGTTGTAAGGATAAAATTAAGGGTGTGTGAGGGGAAGACAACCATATATGCCACTTTGAGCTCCTTGCAGGAAAGGCAGGATATAAATGTAATAAACAAAGTATTAAAAAACATGGTAGGAAACAGTTTCCAGGTAGAGATCATTGTTCCATAGGAAGATTTCTTGAAAGCTTACTAAAGTCATGTCTGTCTAGAGATGTAAATATTACAATTACAAGTGGCTGATTTCTAATAGGTAGTTGATTTGGCTGGTTTGTGGGATTGGGAAAACATAACATTTTTAATTAGAACGAGGACATCTTTGATATGAGGCACAAGCATCAATGCCATTATTCATGCATTATTGCTATGGGCAAGGTTTTTAACGTTTTAATTAGCATTGCTATTACTGTAGTGTTACTAATTAATTTTTCACCATAATCTTACATTGTAATAACCCCTGAATTGTCAGCGTTTTGCATAACAATGGAACTGCTAATGTAGGATGGGAGTGAAGGCTGAGAAGAAAGGGGAGATGAGCAGTGGCAGTGCCGGGTTTGACAGGACTTGGGGTAATGTGCCTCTTGGCTGCTCCCCTTGCCTTCACATGTCCTGGCCGCCCCTCTGCTGCCCTATGTTTTCTTTCTTCCCAGGTCCCTACTACCCTCTCCTCCTGTCACAACCTCCCTGGTTGCTCTCATCCGCTCTCCATATCAGTTTTCCAACAACTGCAGCCCTTTTTTCATTTAGGTGGGCATGTTGTGCAACGACTTGTCTGCTGCTAAGGCACCTGCTCTACTTTGCCCCATCATCTGCCACTGCTGTCTCCTCTGCCGGTTGTTTGGGGACTGCAGGGCCCTGGACTTGGGTTATGAAGTCCAGTCCTAAGAGAGACACTGGAAATAAATGCTGTTTGGCTCTTTAATTGTCATAGAATACAGTTTGATATATTGAACTACACTGTTATTTCTGATCGATTGTGACCGTGAATGACTGGAACACAATCCAGTATCCATTTAATCTCCTTATATTAGGAATGCATATTACTCCCAGTTGTCAGCTATCGGGACAATGCGTGAATGCAATCAATCAATCATTCAATGCAGTAACGATGCAACATTTCAAACACACAAACAAAACATGTAGAATGACAAAGACATGATGGTCGATTATTCTCTGTCCTAACATATCATTGTTAACCGGAGCTCTATATGTTGGCCATAAAATCCTAGGCAAGAAACACAATTCCTCTGACTTTATAGCAAAGAAATGAAATGTAGCCTGTTGACTGGAAAATTATGTCTGCAGCTGTGACCTCTGAGGCACAGCCTTGCTTTCTACCCCGAAGGCCAGGTATGGCTCACTGTCAGCTTGCAGCCTAAAACCAACTTGGCCAGCTATTTCAGTCTGCTCCTACAGTCTTTTCCTAAGCACAGCTGTGAGTGGCGCTTACAGGATCAGGAGTGGAGTGTCACACTCTTTTGCTTCTTTTTGCCTGGGTAACACTGCTTCTCAGACAAGTAGTTTGGGATGTGGCACTGCCAAGGACAAAAGGTAATTGATTACTGTTTTTGAGCAGGCAACATCCTTCCCTGCATGAAATGGCAAGGTTCCCGGGAAGATGTTGCAGAAATGTGTGGGGCATTTTTCCATTTCATGCTGCGAGGGTGGCTGCTGAAGTGGTGCACCATGCTGCTTTTTTGCCTGGGCCTCTCCCTCTGGGACATTCTCTCGTGAAGTCAGGAGGGCTTTCTTAATGGTCAGACCCTTTCCAGCCATAGTGGAACCTGATGACATTGTTGCTGGGGACTGACTTAAGTCATAACAAAGAACCTTTGGTTCTATAGGAAGTGCCACCAAAATTTCACACTGGAACATCTTCCCATGCAGTGAAATGTTCTCAGGCTCCAGATAGTCTTGCCTATTTTGAACTGAGATTTTTGCCAGAGAAACAATGGTCTTCTTGGTGTGTTTGTCAGCTTCTATTCTTCATTTGGTTCCTTCGCCCTGACTCCCTTCTCTCAGCTATCTACGACGTAGCCTTGCCAGGAACTCCTACTCCTAAAACACCTATACTAGACTATTTTCCATGCACCTTTAGAGAAAATATTATGTATTTAATTCTTAGCAATTGAATTTCAGAGAAAGGTGTGCTTTGCAACATTCTCATATTTCTCAGAACTTTAGTCAGGGCAGCCTTTTAAACCAAAATTTCCATATCATCATCATACTTATGCGTGACTCTGCCCTGCTGTTCTTTAAAATGCTGAAAGACTTGACAATATGCACTGTATATCCCCCTTGCCTTTCATCTTTTCCCATGTCAGTGGATTCCCTCACCATTTCAACTTTTTTTATTGTGTACCTAGAGTAAGACGTGTTTGGAATTCAAGTGAGACGTAGCAGACACATCTAGTGCTCTCTAGAGAAATCTATCCTTGATTAAATTGTTTAAAATGACTGCCGTCGCGTGACCTGCTACCAAGGAGTCTCTGTACTGATAGATACTGTCAAGGAGATGACGCTCCATGAGGTACTAATGAAGAATCTGAGTCCAATTTTGGAATCTTGCCCTGATGTGAGATTACCTCTGATTCTTTTTTAAATGGTTTGTACATTTTTTTAAGCAATTCCTTAGGATACCATTTTAAAAGCAAAAAGCAGAGCCATATAACCTGGGCCAGACCCATAGGTTGAGAGCCAGTGTGGTGTAGTGGTTAAGAGCGGTAGTCTCGTAATCTGGGGAACCGGGTTCGCGTCTCCGCTCCTCCACATGCAGCTGCTGGGTGACCTTGGGCTAGTCACACTTCTCTGAAGTCTCTCAGCCCCACTCACCTCACAGAGTGTTTGTTGTGGGGGAGGAAGGGAAAGGAGAATGTTAGCCGCTTTGAGACTCCTTAAAGGGAGTGAAAGGCGGGATATCAAATCCAAACTCTTCTTCTTCTTCTTCTTTGTTAAGTCTGGACAGATGGGAGAACTAGCTCTGTGATGGCTGTGACTCTGGCAAAGCCCTCTATATGAGGAACATGCCACACCCGACCAATAGTCCCTCTGGCTTAGTACTATCTACACTGACACGTTTTCAGCCAAGGCTCTTTCCACCTTCTTTCCCTGGTAGCTGCATTCCAAGAAGGCATGGTAGAGGAGCTGAACAGGCAAGTAGTCTGTGTGCTATTTTTACATTAGAAAAGCTGAATCTGGTTTTCAGAAATGGGACTCCCCCCCCCCTTGGTTAAGCAGAACTCTGTAATAAATCAAATTCCTGCTTCTAACCCTTTGAAAGCCCTAAGCAGTTTGAGTTGACCGTCTCCAAGTGATTGACAGGGCAGCCAGCATAGTAGGTGGCTACATCAATACTGTTTGAGGTTGCCGAATTGCAACTGAGGCATTCATACCCTTATAAATCCCATTACAGTTGTGGTGGGGTGAGGGAATGAAGGCTACACCCCTCTCACCTTTTGCCCTTGGTACCTATGGTTGCACCCCACCCCAATCTCTGAGTGGTGCAAGATTCCAGGGATTCCAGGCACTTAGCCAGGTTTGTGTTTCCTTTGGAGTGAGGGACAGCAGAGATTGTGTTGTCTTTGTGATGTATGATTCATTTGCACATATATACAACCTGAGCCTACAATGGACGGGTTCACAGCATTAACACCCCAAGAGGATCTTGTTCCCTCATAGCCACAGCCTTGGATTCAAACAGACGTGAAGCATCTCTTCCCACCCCCACCACCGTCTCTCTTTCTCTCTGCTTTTCCACTTCTAGTTTCTAGCTCACATCAGTCCACTCTCCTCTCCACACTGGTCTTTGTCTTTCTAACTACGAGTGGATGGAGGGAAGGGGCCCACTCCTTTGCAGTCTGGCACAGATCCGCTTCCTTTGTTCCCTTAATGGCTTATTACCTATAATCTTACTACACCTGGCATCTACTTTGCTGCTGCATGCAGAAGAAGAAGGCAGGAGAAAGGGAATATAAAGGAATGTAGTGGAGTGGCTGCAGTTTTCTCTCAGTAATGTAGCATTGCAGTCAGTACTGAGTTTCGGTCTTTCATGCAGTGCTGAAATGCCACACTTAAGAAGCAGAGTCGTGGAATCACCCTTATTATGCTCAAGAATCTAGGCCTGAAAGCAAATGTGGGGCAGTGGGTAAGATGCCGTAATTACAAATGGAAAACGAGGGTTCACATCACACCTGGGCTATGAAGCTTGCTAGCACATTTGTGGGAAACGGTATTTTAATGATATTGCTGTGACTTGGGCCAGCCCGCATCTCCTAGCCTAATCTCCCTCAGAGGGTTGTTGAGGATAAAGTGGATGAGAAGGGGGGAAACCATATACCACGATCCTGAGCTTGTTTAACTAACCCTGTTGTGTCATAAAGCAATGAGATCCAAACGTGTTACTGGGGTGTGTGGGTGTGTGGAAAAATTCCCTATATTAATTGTACACTGCTTCAGTGGGCTCTGTCCATTAAGCAGCTTATAAAACGATTACATGAATGCAACAAATACTCCCCCATCATATGTTTATTTTTATTTTATTTTATTTATTAAATTTCTATCCCAACGTTCCTCTCAAAGGGTCCTGGAGTAGCAAATATAAAAATGTTAAAACTTGAAATGAAATGCAAACATTATTTAAAAGATTTAAAATCCATTGTAAAACATTTGAAACATTTAAGAACCTTTAGAATGTCTGAAAACATTCAAAAGCAATTCGGATCTCTGTTTGGGTACTGTGTGTAATGATTAAAGCAGAGGACTGCAGTTCAATGCCCCCAGGTAGGGCTCTGCTTGATTCAGCTTCTAACGCTTAGGCTGCAGAGCCACTACTCTCCATGTCTTCCTCCCTCTGCACTCTGAGACAGAAGTTCAACTTGAACAGAGCCTGTTGGTATTATGAATTTGATTATTACTGATATGGAAGAACGCAGGATGTGCATGGGTCTCGAGAGGACAGGAGCGATTCCTCTTGTAATATGTCACCTGTACGTATTAATCTGTCTGCAAAGAATGAC